TTCTGTTTATCAGTTCTTTCTCTGGAGGTGGATAGCATCTTCCCTCATAGACAGAGCTGGAAGGGACTTCTGAGATCATTCCTTTGCAATTGGTTTGAGTACTTATGATACTTAAGATTAATTACGTATTCAAAGTTATTCCTAAGACAATATTTCTGTTACTATGTACAATGTTCTCTTGGTGCTGCTCATTTGACTTTTCATTATTTTGTGTAAACTTTTACTCATTTTTCTAAAAGCAACCAGCTCATTATTTCTTATAGCATAGTAATATTCCATCACAATATATACCACAACTTATTTAGCCATTGCCCAATTGAAAGGAATCTATCATTTTAGCCAATCTGATAGGTGTAAGATGACATCTCAAAGTTGTTTTAAATTGCATTTCTCTAATCAATAATGATTTAGAGCATTTTTACATGACTATAAATTATTTTGATTTCTTAATCAGAAAACTGCCTGTTCAAATCTTTTGACAGTGTGTCAGTTGGGGAATTTGTATTCTTATAAATTTGACAAAGTTCTTTACATATTTAAGATATGAAAACTTTATTGAGATACTGTCTATAAAAACTTCCCCCAATTTTCTGCTTTCCTTCTAATCTTGGCTACATTGGTTTTATTTGTGCAAAAACTTTTAAATTTAAATTTAATGTAATTGAAATTATTCATTTTACACTTCACAATGTTCTCTTTCTCTTGTTTATGGACAAGTTGTTCTCCTGTCCGTAAGTCTGATAGGTAATACGTTCCATGTTATTCTAATTTTCTTATGACATCTCCCTTTATATCTAGGTCATATATCCATTTTGACCTTGTCTTGGTAAATGATATAAGATATTGGTCTATACCCAATTTTTGCCAGAAATTTTCTGTTTTCCAGCTTTCCCAACAATTGTTTACCAAATAATGAATTCTTATCCCCAAAACTTAAATCTTTATATTTGTCAAATACAAGGTTACTATAATCATTTACTACTGCATATTGTATGATATTCTGTCTCCTATCTATATGTGCATTGTGCATTTGCACAATTCTGCATTTATACAATCCATTTCTCATGCCTGGAATTTCCCTCTTTCTCTCTATCTCTTTAAAATCTTGTCTTCAGAGCCAAGATGGCAGAGAAAAGGCAGGAACTCACCTGAGCTCTCCCCAAAATCCCTCTAAACAACTTTAAATAATGGCTTAAAACAAAATCTGAAGCAGCAGATCCCACAAAAGGACAGGGTGAATCAATTTTTCAGCCTAAGATAACTTAGAAGGTCAGCAGGAAAGGTCTGTTGCACCAGGGTGAGACCGGAACACAATCGAGGACCAACCAGCAGTAGGCTTTGGGAGCTGCTGAATCAGTGGTAGCAGTGGCAATTGCCAGACCTCTCAGCCCACAGACAGTAAGGGAGTCAGACAACTGGTCAGAAGGAGATTACAGGGGTCCCTTTGCTGGCACCAAGGGTAACACTCTGTTGCTTTGCCCATGCTTGGATCCAGGTTGCAGTCCTGGGTCTCAGTTCCAGGGTGAGGAGGAGCACTAGCACACCAAAGCTTGCAGCCACAGGAGAGCTGGGACCCTGGTCACAGTTCAAGGGTTGAAAAGAGTGGTTATTGTTGCTCATAGACCAGAGTACAGGCCAGGAGAGTAGTAAACACAACTCTCCCTAGATTGTACCACCTTGAAAGAACTGAAAACAGTGTCCCTCCACTCCAGAAGCAGAGCCGCACTGTAGCATAGAGTTAAAAGTCAAGAAATAAGCTGGGAAATGAGCAAAAAGTAGAAAAAGATCCTGACTATAGAAAGTTACTCTGGTGTCAGGGAAGACCAAATTGCAAACTCAGAAGACACCACGTCAAAACCACTACCTCAGAAGCCTCAGAGAAAAATACAAATTGGTCTCAGGCCATGGAGTAGCTCAAAAAGGATTTGAAAATCAAGTAGGAGAGGTAGAGGAAAAATTGGGAAGAGAAATAAGAGTAATGCAAGAAAATAATGAAAAAAGAGTCAACAATTTGGTAAAAGAGGCACAAAAAAATACTGAAGAAATTAATAACTTAAAAAGTGTAATAGCCCAAATGGTAAAAGAGGCACAACAATCCAATGAAGAGAAGAATGCCTTGAAAAGCAGAATTGACCAAATGGAAAAAGAGGTACAATAGCTCAATGAAGAGAATACCTTAAAGAGCAGAACTGGCCAAATGGAAAAGGAGGTACAAAAGCTCATGGAAGAAAATAATTCCTTAAAAATTAGAATCAGGCAAATGTAAGCTAATGACTTTATGAGACATCAAGAAACAATAAAACAAAATCAAAAAAATGAAAAAAAATAGAAGAAAATGTGAAATATCTCATTGGAAAAACAACTGACATGGAAAATAGATCCAAGAAAGATAATTTAATAATTATTGGACTACTTGAAAGTCATCATCAAAAAAAGAGCCTGGACATTATCTTTCAAGAAATCATCAAGGAAAACTGCCCTGATATTCTAGAAATGGAGGGTAGAATAGAAATTGATTAACTCTTGAAAGAGATCCCAAAATGAAATCTCCCAAGGATATTATAGTCAAATTCCTAAGCTCCCGGGTCAAAGAGAAAATGTTGCAAGCAGCCAAAAAGAAATTATTCAAATATTGTGGAGCCACAGTCAGAATAACACAAGATTTAGCAATTTCTACACTAAAGGATCAGAGAACTTGAAATATGATATTCCAGAGGGCAAAGGAACTAGTTTCACAACCAAAAATCATCTACCCTGCAAAACTGAGTATAATCCTTTAGGAATATTAAAACATAACAGAGATAAGACTATTACTATGGGGAAAGGAGGATATTTAATGAAATAGAAGACTTTTAAGCATTCCTGATGAAAAGACCAGAGCTGATGAGACTATTCAACAAGGCTAAACTGTTTACATTCCTACATGGGAAAATGATACTTGTAACTCCTAAAAACTATCTCATTATTAGAGAAGTTAGAAGGAGTATACATAGACAGAGGACATGATTTGAATCATGGGATAATTATCTAAAAAAATAAAATTAAGGGGTAAGAAAGAGGGATGCACTGGGAGAACAGGAAAGGTAGAGGTAGAATGAGATAAATTATCTGACATAAAAGAGGCACAAAAGAGCTTTTATAGTGTAGGGGGAAATGGGGGAGGTAAGGAAAGGGAGCATGAGAACTTTATTCTAATCAGAATTGGCTCAAAGGGGGCAGCTAGGTGGTGGAGTGAATAAAGCACTGGCCCTGGAATCAGGAGGACCTGAGTTCAAATCCGGCCTCAGACACATGCCACTCACTAGCTGTGTGATGCTTGGGCAAGTCACTTAACCCCAACTGCCTCTCCAAAAACAAACAAACAAACAGAAAAAGAATTGTCTCAAAAAGGGAATAACATACACACTCAGTTGGGTATAGATCTATGTTACCATACAGCAAAATAGGAAGGTAAGGGGTAAGAGAAGTGGGGGAGGGGCTGATAGAAGTGAGGGCAGATGGGGAGTGGTAAAAGTCAGAAGCAAAGCAGTTTTGAGAATGGATGAGATAAAAGGAGAGAAAGAGAGTAGGATAAACGGGGAAAATAGGATGGATGAAAATACATAGTAATCAACTGTGAAAAAAATTTTTATAGTGTTTTCTGATAAAGACTTCATTTCTCAAATATATAAAGAACTGAGTCAAATTTATGGAAACAAGAGCCATTGCTCAATTGAGAAATGGTCAAAGGATATGAATAGGTAGTATTCAGATGACGTAATCAAAGCTATCTATAGTCATGAAAAAAATGCTCTAAATCACTATTGATTAGAGAAATGAAAATTAAACAATGCTGAGTTAACACCCCACAGCTATCAGAATGGCTAATATGACAAATGTTGAAGGAGATATGGGAAAATTGAGACACTAATGCATTGTTGATGAAGTATATACTGATTCTGTAGAGCAATTTGGAACTATGCCCAAAGGGCTAAAAAAAGTATACCCTTTGGCCAAGCAACACTACTACTAGGTCTATATACCGAAGAGATAAAAAACAAAAAGGATAAGGACTGACATGTACAAAAATACCTATAGCAGCTCTTTTAGTGATAGCAAAGAATTGGAAATTGAGGGGATGTCCATCAATTGTGAAATGGCTGAACAAATTGTTGTATATGATTTTGATGGAGTACTATTGTGCTACAAGAAATGATGAGCAGGATGCTCTCAGAAAAAACCTAGAAAGACTTACGTGAACTGATGCAAAGTGAAATGAGCTGAACCAGGAGAACATTTTATTGTATGATGTATGTATGTATTGTATGATGGTCAGCCATGAATGACTTAGCTGTTCTCAGCCATACAATGATTCAAGACAATTCTGAAGGACTTATGACAAAAAATGCTACCCATCTCCAGAAAAAAGAACCAATGAAGTCTGAATGAACATTGAAGCATAGTTTTTCATTACTTTCTTTATTTTTCTTGGGGTTTTTTTTGGTCTGTATTTTCTTTCACAATAAACACTAAAATATGTTTTGTATGACTGTATATGTATAACCTGTATCAGATTGCTTCCGTTCTCAGTGGAGGGAAGGAGAGGAAGGGAGAAAATTTTGAACATTTTTGTTCAAACTGTTGAACATGTTAAACATCAACATTTTAAAAAAACAAATGTTAAAAATTGTTTTTACATGTAATTTGGGGGAAATAATTAAAAAAAAAAAAGAAATCTTGTCTTACTTCAAGGCACAGTTCAGGTGCCATTTCTTCCACAAAACCTTCCCTTCCTATTTAGCTTTCTTTTGTCTCGTTTCCCCCCCCCCCATTAGATAGTAAGTTCCTTGAGGGGAGAATTGATTTTTCTTTTTCATATTTGTATCCCAACATGTAGCATATCCTTCTTTTTTGAAAAAGGACCAAAGATATCATGTATGAGTGATGCCTTGACTTGTTTGTGAATTGGATTCAAGTGAGACAGAGTAACACAAAGTCATCAGCCTCACTCTCTCTTCCAGAGTCATTGGAGTCCAGTGGCAAGACAAAAGTCAAGATGACTCGTGACGGCCCAGGATGCAGGGAAGACGTTGGGATCTTTGATGTCTGACCAAATTCTAAGCACTCCACAGCACCTGCTTCAGCTGCCTTTACGGCGGTTGGAACAAATCTGCCCATTCCACCAGAGAAGTCTTCACATTCTTGGGGTAGACATCCCTTTACCTCACTGACAGATTTGAGGCCTGTTACCCTCAACCTGGTTTAGCCCTTTGCTGAGATGGTTTTACTGGGGTGTGGCCACTGCACATGCTATTGCTTCTTGGAGCCACTAGTGAGAGTTGAGTGACAGGTGGACACCAAAGGTGGGTGAGCAGCCCTGAAAAGAGCTTAGCAAGCCCTCATGCCAAAGATGCCAGTGCTCTTTGAGCACCCCATCCACCCCACCTGACCCATAATAGGTGCTCGTAAATATTGATTAACTGACTGACCAACTGGCCATTTATTGAATTCCCACCCATCCTTCAAGTTTCACCTCAAATGTTGCTTCTTCCATGAAGGCTTCATTCCTTGATTCCCTCCCCTACCTACCCAGATGTTATGTCCCTGTCATATAAACTTTTATAGCATCTGCTATGTGCCTTTCTTTTACTCTATTTTTATTCTACCTTATAAATATTCTTCCATATTCAATTGTAAACCACTTGAAGGCAGGGACTAGGAACCTAGCATAGGCTTTGCCTGTAGATGATGTTAAAAGAATAGTTGTTGAGTAAAGGAAAGACCAGATCCTGATCACAAATGAACATCATGAACTAGCTATAGTACGCAGGGAGAAACTTAAGGAGAAGAAGGTAGGGGAGGAAGCACTGAGACAGCAGCAGCTTCAGAGTTTTCTTACTTAGCGATGCTGATTTATTTATTTAGTAAAGTGACCTATTTTGAAAATGCCTGAGTTTGCATTTCCTATCACTGTGGTATCTCTGAGTGTTCATAGGAGCCTACATGATCTCTCACCATCAGGAACCTTACTTAGCTTTCATCTTTATACCCTATCTATTGGTTTTCCTGTCTCTTTCTTAGTGTTTGGGAACTGGATGGGAGACCCAATCCAGGGAGCTTAGAAACTGGGCATGTTGTTATGGTTTGGGATGATGAGTTAGCCTCGATAAACAAGGCAGGTTCCTAGGGGTAAGTATTCTACATTCTCTTCTGTAAAAGATATCTGCATAGGCTTCTGCTCCTGAGAAACAGGAAATACTATTATATGTGACTGGATTTGTAGAAAGTGATAAGAGACACAAAGAAGTTCATTTTACTTGTGGCTTAAGAGTGACTGTTCTTTGCTGCATTTTGAGGTCATTCCTTGAACTAGACCCTGTTTCAATGTGTGAGGACAACAGGAAAAGATTGTCTTGAAAAATGGTGAAGAAACCAACCTTTTTTAGAGGAGTGTTATTAAGTAAGAGAGATTGAACAATGACATGTTTTCTTTAATTCGCCCAGTCCTGAAGTAGATTTTGAGTTTGCTTTTGTCTTCTTGGAAGTAAGTAGTCAGTAACTGAGAAACTGTTCTCTTCTTTTGTCCTCAGCCTTGACTGGAAATTCTGTTGCTATTATGTCAGCCACCCCAGCTCTAGCCCTTGACTAACCTTTGGCCACTATTCCCTGTGATATCCCTCCCTCTCCTGTTCCTTCTGCTTCTGCCGTGAGGCTCTGCTCACCACCTTCTGTGATGAGTCAACAAGAAATCCTATCTTTTCCTCTATGCTATGGGGTTTGCAAGAGAAGGAGAAGCCACAGCTTCTGCCCTGAAGGAGCTCACACAGTGGTTGGGAAGACACTGTCATACACACACAAAAAGAACTAAAGGACAATGCATGATAGTATGTAAGCGAATGCTACCTTGAAGTTTAAACTGTGAGGCCTGCAAGAGGTGAGAAAATGTAAGAAAAATGAACCCTGGTGGAGGTGTTTGAAGAGGAGCTGAGTTTTGAGCTGGATTTTGAAGGATAGGTAGGGTTTTAATAGGTAGGATGTGTGTGAAGTCTTTCTGAAGGAGGAGAGAACATTAGTAGCAAAGATGTAGCAATGGAATGAGATTGGAGGATGAGAAGCCTGGGGGACGTGGGGTACAGTAAAGAGTCTCTCCCAACTGTAGCAAGAGGACATGTAAGGATGGAGTAGGGGATGAGGTTTGGAAGTAAGAATGTGGGCAGACTGTGGAGATCCTTGAAACCTGGGCTAAAATAATTGGACTTTATTCTGTAGACATTGGAGAGTCATTAGGGCTTTTGAGTAGGAAATTATATAATTGAAGCAGCCGGTGTGACACTCTGATCAGAAATCATATAATATCTCTCCCCTGGACTCTTGTCTCCCATCTCCACGTGCCTGAATCTAGATACCTCACCAGCTACAGATCCCATTATCAAACAAGATGAGTTTGAACTCATCTCGTCCAAAAAAATTGGGGGAGGGAGAGGCAATTGGAGTTAAAGGACTTGCCCAGGGTCACAGTAAGTGTCTGAGGACAGATTTGAACTCAGGTCCTTCTTGACTCCTGGGCCAGGGCTCTATCCACTGCACCATCTAGCTGCCACATCTCATCCAAAATTGAACTCATCTTTCCCATGAAATCAGTAAGAGACCCAACGTCCCTATTCCTTGATGGCACTGCTGTACCCCTAGGCACTTGGGCTCAACACCTTGAAGACGTCTTAGACTCCTCCTACTGACCTCTTCTCTCCCCTCACACAACCTCATCCCTTCTCTCCTAAGAGTATTACAACAACCTCCTGGCTGAATTCCTTGCCTGAAGTCTTTCCCCAATCCAGTCCATTCTACACACTGCTGTCAAAGTAATCTCCCTTGAGTGCAGGTCTAACCACACCACTCCCCTTCTCAATAAAACCCAGTGGCTCTCCATTTCCTCTAGGATAAAACATAAACTCTGTTTAGCTTTTAAAACCCTTCACAACATAGTTCCATTCTGTATTTCCAGGCCTATTTATACATTAGTTCCTGTTCTGTTTTCTGTATATACACACACAAAATAGCTAAATAAAGAGCAGCTGGGTGGCAAAGTGGGTAGAGCGCTGGGCTTGGAATCAGGAAGACTCATCTTCCTGTGTTCGCATTCGGCTTCAGAAACTTTGGTAGCTGTGTGACCCTGGACAAGTCACTTATCCCGTTTGTCTCAGTTCTTCATCTGTAAAATTAGCTGGAGAAGGAAATGGCAAACCACTCCAGCATCTTTGTCAAGGAAACTCCAAATGGGGTCACGAAGAGTCAGACGTCACTGAAACGACTGAATAAAGTTAAATAAAAGATAGTTTGGGAGGGAGGGCCCTGGCAGTTGTTGCTGTATGTGTAGTAACAATGCTCTGGCTCATTAGCTCAGAGCCAGGATGTTACATTTGCCCTTCAAAGTTCTAGGTGGCGTACTACCTTGTCCACTAGTGACTAGAAGAATCCCAGCTCCATTTAACATAAATTAACTTTTACAAAGGGAGATTTACTTCAAAGACATAGCATCAGAAGTGGGAACATTTCCCCCCCCACCCCACTCCAGGTACATACTTTCGTCCTTGCTCTCTGGGGGAAGTGCCTTGAAGCTTGACACAATTTCTCCATAGTATTAGTTTTACCAAGTTCATGTCCAAATGTGATATCATTTCCAGCTGAATCCTTGTCTCAGCTACAGCTGAAACGGTTCCCAAAGGCTATTCCTCAGTTCGTTGGTGATGGGCTTGCTGGAAAACCCAGTGGGGATTTGATTCCCAGAGTCCTAAAACTCTCAGACACCCGGACTCCCAGATACCCAGATGCCTGGACAGCTAAATCTTCTGACTATTTACAACTCACAAGGTCTTTGCCTCTACATTAATCTCCTTCACCTAAAACAAAAGAATAAATATTGATGTAAGCCTCAACTAAGTCTGTGGTAATTACCTTTACCTGCTTTGGTGAGCTGGGCAGGGACAGCTGACTCTAGCTTTTATTTATTCAGCCAGTAAACATATATTTATTGCCTATTATGTGCCAGGCACCCGTGCTAAGTGCTGTAAGGCAATCTGACACTCCATGACTATCAGATGCTTGGATCAGAAGTCAGAAGCAGCTCAGAGGCTATCTTCCTCAAGGGATGGTGACACAAAAGGGGTGAGGCAGAGGAGGAAGGAGGTGAGAGGTGGGGGGTGGGAGAGGAGTTAAAAATAATGTTCTCTCTCTCCCTCTGGTGGGGATTCCCAGGGTGAAACTGAGGGCAAAGTAAACTTCTTAGAAGGGGAAAAAGATGAAATAATTGTTTCCTGTGAATCAAGGCAGAATTAATGTCTTTCTTCATTTAGGTTACTTTTCCAGAGTGTTCAGGAAATTAGGGGCAGAGACAAGTAGGGGGGTGAAGAGCAGAGGAGTCACTTTGTCTTTGAGCTAGAGTGGGTCCTTGGGACTTTCCCCTCAAATTTGCCCCAGGGTGGGAAATGTAAAGGATGACAATCAGTTATATTCCTCTAAGCAAAATGGTCAGAGCCTGGTTGGTTGCAGGGCAGGGGTACAGCCTTATGGTGAGGTGGAAGTGAAAGTGAAGGGCCTCCTTGAAGCCAGGGGAAGCCAGCGATGGGGTCTTAAGAGCAGAGGCCAGAAGAATCTCTTGATAAAGAAACAGATTGAATGATAGTCTAGAAGCGTTCCTTAGGCAACGGCAGAAGCTGGTGGGACCCAAGCTCTGGCCCTTCCTACAGGTTGAGAGAAAGGCCCATCTCTTGTGCCCTCATTGCAGACAGTGGGTAGCACTTTAGGGACCACTTCACATATCACATCCAGTCCCCTGGGGAGAGAGGAAAGGCTGGAGACCAGAGGCATCACATTCCGTCATTCCCCGACCCATGTTCTATCTGTAGAGAGTGGAGAAAGGAAGAAGAGAGAAGAAACAGGGCCGATTTCAGCCCTCAATTAGCTTATGTTATTCTGTGAGGAAGTCAACGTGTGTTTCTGTGTGTATAATCTATCTATCATATGTATGCATGTATATGTGTGTATGTACATATTATTTTTTGTTGGGGGAGAAGGCATAGCTTTTGGGAAAATTAGGGGAGGCTTCATGTAGAAGGTGATTTGAACTGAACTTTTAAGGAAATCTCGGGATTCTAGGAGCCAGAGTTAAGGAA